TCATATACTCCAGGTCAGTCCAAGAAAATGTATGTTGCCTTAGTAATAACTTTTCTATTAATATATTGATAATTATTTTGATTATCTAGGATTAATACTCCAGATGTTTACATTTTATAAGATAATTTGTCTATTTGTCAAATTATTTTATAAAAAATATTATTTTATATATTTCAAATTATTTTATAATATTTTTTACCCTTTTAGATTTAGCTGCAAATTTTATTCAAGAATTTTGATTTTAATTGTGTGCTCTTCCGCAACTTTACTTTTTTTTTCTGTTTGCTCACCTCATATTTATACAGTTGTTTTTTATAATTGTCTTTGTCTCTCTTTTTAATGCTGGTCATTGACTGAAATTAATATCTCTAAACTAAATTTTCATTAGGAAGTGAATTCCAATTTTCTCTAAACATTCTATTATATTTTAAAGCTCATTAAATTAAAGACACACATTGCAACTTGTGTGGAGAGGTGGCGCGTTGGTTCAGCTCTATAAATTTACTGAATTTGGTGGGTTTGCTTTGAATATGCCTTTTAAAATATATCAATAGCACCAGAAATTTTGGTTTAAATTAATTCCCCAAAAGGGAAAGAATATATTTACGGATACTTTGACCATTCAAATTTCTATTAAACATGGCAGTTTCCGGCTAAGACTATTGTGACTGTCAGAACTGGACTCCTTTGCTGCATACTGCCACACCCATTCCTTGTTGGAGAATTAACAATTTATTTTTAAAAGCACTTCTGATTCTCGGAGACTATATCAGTGATGGCGAACTTATGGCACGCGAGCCAGAGGCAGTACTCACACTCCATTGCCCCAGCCCCACCTCCGCCTGTGCCCTCCCCTCACCAGCAGCCCCCCCCCAGAGGAGAGTCACCAAGGACATGGCAGCCAGGCAGAAGGGACAAGACTCCACCCTCGCACCCCATTGTGTGCAGATGATGCTGCGGGGTGGAGGGTGTGGCCGCCATGGTGCTGCAGGGCCACCTGGGTGATCTGCTGTGGCAGGCCATGGAGGTGGTAGGTGGCCTTGCGGCCGGGCAGGGGTGGGGTGTGGGGCGGGGCAGGGGTGGGGTGGTTGTGGGGCACTCGGTGTTTAAAAGGTTCGCCATCACTGGGCTATATAGTTGAGACTATATAGTTGAAACTACCCTATACTTTAGCTTAGCTGTTGTTTATTATCATATTTTGCAAAATGAGATGTGCATTTATTATTAATCATTTACTTTACTTGACAGTTGTGAATGTTTCTGAGCAGCATGTATTCTAGATTGCGTAAATTGGGTTGAAAACAATACAATGAAAAGGAACAGATTAATAATATTATACTCCTGCTCTTTAGGGCTTGTCTCTGGTAACCTGACTTCAGGAAAGCTTATCAGTGAACCTGATCTTAATCCTTAATCCTTCTAGTTGGCTTCAGATCAATTGCAGAATCCCTTCAAAAAACCTGCAAGGGTTAGATTTTCCCTACATATATAACCAGCAAAGCGATCTTAATCTTTCTAGGCAGCAACTACAAGTAGTCCTCAACTTACGACCACAATTGAGCCCAAAATTTATGTTTCTAAGTGAGACATTTGTTAAGGAGTTTTGCCCCATTTTACGATCTTTCTTTGCCACAGTTGTTAAGTGAATCATTGTCGGTGTTAAGTTAGTAACCCGGTTGTTAAGTGAATCTGGCTTCCCCATTGACTTTGTTTTTCAGGAGGTCGCAAAAGGTGATCACATGACCCTGGGACATTGCGATCGTCATAAATATGAACCAGTTGCCAAGCATCTGAATTTTGATCACACGATTATGGGGATGTTGCAAAGGTCATAACAGTGAAAAAAACGGTCATAAGTCACTTTTTTCAGTGCGATTGTGACTTTGAACGGTCACTAAATGAACTATTTTAAGTTGAGGACTACCAGTAATTCTTTCAACAATCTAGGTAAGAATGCTTGATTTTTCTGTGTCTTAATCTTATGAGTGCATCTAATTCTTGCTTCTTCCCATCTCTTCATGTTTCTATCCCCAAGCACATAGAAGCTGTACACTGCAAAGAATGACCATCACTATGGCTAAATATATATGGAGATTCTCAGTCATCCAGGTCATGGTTGTCTCCAAAGATGCTTTTTCAAAAAGCAAGTGGACTTCCTTTTTTCCTTGAAGACGTTTTGCTTCTCATCCAAGAAGCTTCTTCAGTTCTGAACAGAAGAAGCTTCTTGGATGAGAAGTGAAATGTTTTCAAGAAGAGAACAAAGTCCATTTGCCTTTTGAAAAAACACCTTTGGAACATCATTGTGGCTGTTGGCAAAAGCACCCAGTTGCAAAAAAACAACCCTACAATGTCACTATTATCACTACTTTCAATGGCAGATTAAAGATAGAAAGTTAAACACACAACAAAAGAATTGTGTTAGGAACCACATACACACACAAAATAGTAATATTTGTGTATTTTTAGCCATCAGGCTAAAGCTTGAATTGACCCTAACTCATCAGCATTTATTGAGTGTTCTTCAGAAGAGACTATAATAGTAATAAAATATATGAGATTTTGACAAGACTAAGAGTCTTGAAGGAGCTTGATGATGTCATTTCAGGGGTCCTTTTGTGATGCTTGAGAAGTTATGAAGGAGGTGTGCTAGAGGATTGGAGAAGGGCAAATGTTGACCCTCTTCCTCATTTAGAAGGAAAAAAGAGGGCCTAGGTTAGTATAAATTGTTCAGTTTGACTTCAATAATGGGAAAAACTCTGGAACAAATTTTTAAGCAGGGAGTTTCTGAGCATTTTAATAATAATGCATTGTTTGATAAGAAGCAGTATGGATTTATCAAAAAATCATGTCATGCCAGTCTGATCGCCTCTTTAGATTGCATGGCCAGTTAAGCTGTCCACATAAAAGTGGGTTTGATAGTGTCCTTAACTTCAGCAAAGCATTCAGTGGACTATTCTAAGAGAGAGGACAGGAATTGTGCAAACTTGATTATTCTACCATTAGATATAGGTGGCTGAATAATTGCATGCAAATGAAGAGTATGGGAAGAAAGAAAATGTTGAATGGTGTACCTGGGAACCATATTTTGAAGCCTGTGTTGTTCAACATATTTATAATAAAATTAGATGAGGATTATAAATACAAATGACACAAAATCATGAAGATAGGCTGACAAAATGGAACAATGGATAGAAACCACTAAGGTAAATTTCTCCAGAAATATAAGCAACAGAGAGAAATCCCTCATTTAAGAAAGAAAGTGAAGGGATCAGTTAGGAAGGGAAGATTCCTATTGGACAATAACACATGAAGAAAAGATCTGAATGTCTAGGTAAGGGGTATCAAATTCAATTTCACTGAGGGCCACATCAGCATTGGGGTTTCCCTGGGGGGGGGCGGGTGGGTGTGGCTAGAGTGGGTGAAGCCTACTGGGTGGGCGTGGATGGAGTGGGTGTGGACTATTGGGTGGGCGTGGCTAGTTCTACATTATTCGCCTCAAGGGTGCCTATGGGGCCTGGGCAGGTGTGGGACAGATCTGAGGGTCTCTGGCAGAAGGGGATGGGACCGGGGCAAGTGCCAAGATGGCCACCACAAAATTGTACATTGGCTCCTGGCTGGCCTGGGCCAGGGCCAAGGCAGCGGGGGCCATTCCCTCACTGTTTCCAGGATGGATTTACGGGCCACATGAAACCACTTTGTGGGCCGCATCCGGCCCTCAGGCCTTGTGTTTGACATGTCTGATCTAGGTGAACTCCATTCCGACCATGAACCAACAGTGTGATGCAGTGGAAAAAGAAAACAAATCCAGGCAGCCACACAAAAAAAAATGTATGCCTTCATAATCAAATGAAGCCATCACTGATTTATACGCTGCTGTGATCAGAGCACACTTAGAATACCATATTCAGTTCTCAGTACCACATTTTAGAAAGAACTTGATAAACTGGGAATGTGTCCAGAGAACAATTAAGATGGTAATAAAGAGTTTCTCTTGAGACCTGGATAGAAGCTTTGGATGTTTAGCCTGGAGAAAAGAAAACTGCAGGGATCACCATCTTTAATTATCTGAAGAGTTGCTATAAAAACGATGGGGCCAAATTGTTTCAGAAAGCAGGAAAAGAAACAATGGATTTAAATTATAAAGAAGTAAATTTGGGCTGAATGTTAAGAAAAGTGTAAGAGTGTTTAACAGTGGAACAAATTGCCACAGGAGATGGTGAACTTTTCTTTGATGGAGATTTTTAAACAGACTAGCCGGGCTTCTCTCAGGAATTGGTGTATTTGTAGGGGGTTAGGCACTAGATGGTTTCAAAGATTCTTTCCCATGTTTACATTTCATGATTTTATGAGATTATATTAAACCTGCTTTCTGTATGCCAGTGCTACATGGTATATAGCAAAATATTTTCTAAATAATGCTATAATTAAAACTGTAGTTATGTTTTTGCTAAGAAAACTGTATTGAATGTTTTACTAATAGGCATTGCTATCCAATTGACAGGACAAGGGAAAGGCAAAGAATTATTAAAGGATCAAGCTATCTGATTTAAGCATTAGAAACTTAAAAAAGAAAAAAAAATCAGAAACAATCCTAGTATTATTTTTTCTGGAAAACATGTACCCAGTTCCTTGTTTAAAAATCTATACATGACAAAAAAAAAAAAAGATCAAAACATTGCAGTTCAGGGAGCATAATAGTTGAAACCCACTAATTTTTCAGGATATATTCTTGTATATATATATCTTGTTTAAATGATTGAGAAAACCTGAGCTCATTTCTAAAATAGTAGAATGTTATTAGTTATTCAGTGACTGTATAATAATACATAACTGTCAAATCAAGTCAAATTTATTGTTACACACAAAGAAGCAAGGAAGATATAATTAATAAAATATTAATAAGATGATAATATTAATAAAAATTAAGTCCAGGCTGGAAAATTTATCCCATTTGTACTAACTGTTGCCATGTTTTCAGTGCAGCTGCAGAATTTGGCCCAGAATGATTGAAGGTGGAAATGGAGAAGACGGAGGTGACCATTAGTGTGGCGATGGGTAGAGAGATAGCTACCATCAGGATCAGAGGGTTTGATGGGTGAGATTGCTCCTGCTGGCCAGCCTTTTGCTTTTATTCTTGAAGCTGTGAGATCTTTGGTGGCCTGGATTCCAGTTGCAGTTACAAAATTCCAGGTTGGTATGTAGAATATCAATGACTTGATTGTGGAGGAATCAGATTTCTTTAATCAAGGCCTGGTTAGAAAGCATGATGGTTTCCCTCTTGGAGATGTACTTATTTGATATTTGTGCTTGGCATCAGCATGGCTCCAGAGTAAGATTGGAGGAGCGGCAGTTATCACCCAGAAAGCCTTGAGGCTTTTTAGAATCTCTGTGCCACAAATAACTGATGTGAGATACTGTGGTTGAAGTTGAGGTCTAGAGGTCTAGGAAACAGATGTGCTCGTTACTAATGCACTAGCCTCTCTGTGACACAGAAACATCTGGATTTCTTTTGTTCAGATGCTTTGGCTGCCTCTGAAATCCCTGTGGCTTATATACATGCATTAGATATATTTTCTTCAGAGACCAGTCATATAGTTAGAGGTAGCAACGATTTCAATAATTGATAAAAAAAAATCTGGGATTTTTACGTGGAACAGAGAACTGGAGTTTGCTGTCTTACAAAACCCTTGGTTTCAGATTTTAAGATAAATTTAAAAAAACTATTAAGTAAATATTGCAAACAATACTTTTTCAAATTGATTGGATTCAGTGGATATTTTAAAAATCTTCAGTATTTTTAAAAAAACTATTAAGTAAATATTGCAAACAATACTTTTTCAAATTGATTGGATTCAGTGGATATTTTAAAAATCTTCAGTACTGTCCTTTCATTGAAGATAAAATGTGCTTGAAGTTGTATTTGATTTGGTCGTATCCATTGGTAATTCCTTATCAGTTGGATATTATTACTATGGTGAGGTAAATTCTTGGAACAAAGTAAAATTTAAACAATGCTAAATGTGTTGCAAAATTATGCATATTCCATGTTTCTCTATACAGTATATGAAAATATGGATAAGTCAGGATTGTGGTTCATGGAAGGATCCTTGTTAACCAGAAACTGAAATCAGTCAGCCTTTGAATTAACTCTTTACCTTTACCCGCAGAAAGGTAGGATTAGATTTCATGTCCTCAAGAATTAATATCATTCAAAAATGGATTTGTAGTAGTGTTTATATAGATGTAATCACTGGCTCTTTACTGGAATAAAATAGTATAATCAAAGGGGTTATTTTCTTTATCTTTATTTAACATTCATGTTACATTTTTAATCAATTTTTGTATATTTCAATTGCATTCGCAAGTTTTCTTTTGTTTTAATTTTTATCTCCAGTTGTAAGAAAATTAACAGGGAGTGCTAAAAAGAAAGTTAGGTTTTAAGAGACTCCCTGAAATTAGTTTGGTTTTCCAGAGAGCAGAAGTGATATGTCTATGCTGCCAGGAAATGTGGATTATGTGCAGAACAGAATATTGTTAGCCTTAATGCCTGATGTATTAGAAAGTGTCTCATTTTTCATTCAACTTCAGCCATGTCCTTGCAAAAAATAAAAAATAAATCCCCTTTCTTCCCCTCTTCTCCACCTATTGTTTCCCAAAGCGGTCTGAGCTCAGCTGCCTGCTTTGGTGATGAGTGGCACAAACACCCAGTCTTATCAAGCAGGGCGGTGAGTGCCTCTGCAGTCCCTGATCTGACAGCTTGATACAGGAGAGCCACAACAAAGAAGCTGACATGAAAGAGAAAAAGAAATGTGAGATTTCTACATATTTATATGATGCCTGGGAGAATAGAGGAGGATCATCGCGGCAAAAAACAAAACAAAAACCCCTACTGGAATAAATAACTACTCACCAAAGGTGCAAAAAAAAAAAAAACTTCAGCTTCATGGAAAGAAGAAAAAGATGTAAGAGCTCCAGAGATTTCCTCCTGACCTACCCCATGTGAGATTCCCTGTCTCTAAGCTGTCTGCATTTTTTTCCTGGCTCCCGTTTTATTCCGATTATTACTTTTATTATATGTTTATTTATCCCATTAATTTTAAGAAGTTGTCGAATAATAATATAATAGGGAAATAAATAACAAACAATTAAAAATTAAGACTTCCCCACAACAACCTGCACCAATAGAAAACCGGCTCATTTAAAGACAAATCAGAAATCAAGACAACCGGCACTGAAAACGGGACCTGAGCCAGTCCCTGCTCAATTGGTCTTTGGTTGCTACTTTGGCTCTAAAGGTGCCAATGAAAATTCAGGACATCTGTTGTCTTTACCAAGGTCAATAAATCATGAAGCTCAACACTGTCCAACAGATAATGGTTGTGAAAACCTACACCAGTAAATTATAAATTAAAATTATGACAAGTATATCAATGTATGAACTAATTCGAGCACTAATTTAAATTAGGTCTCAAATGTTCCTGAGTAAAAGAACATTTTTGATCTAATCTAATGTATGGCCCAAAATGTGGGTCAGGGCAGTGATTGTCTGGAAGAAGCTCTGAGTTCTGGGCCTCCTCTGAGCCCAGAGATGGACCGTTAGCAGTGGTGGGTTCGCACCACTTCGGCAGAACCGGTAGCTAATTTTTTGTTGCCCAGGCCTAGAATGAACTTCCGGAAGTGGCATCCACACAAAGAATCAGTTGTTCACATATTTGAATCCCACCACTGGCCGTTAGGTAGTACTCTTAGTTTGGGCAAAGCTAAAACCATTCTGCAGTGAGATCAAGCAAATAAGCCAATCCAGCTTGAAGGATAGTTAAATACTTGTATCCCCAGGTTGTCCTTTTGACTTAAACTGAGAAACATGGCCTCACATTTGGTCACCTGTGGAACAATGGAGAAACCTAGAACAATTATCCACTAATTTCTTTGTCCACAATTGGATGGAGAATTTCTCAGAGCCATTTAAGTCTAGCTCTCCATGGAACCCATCCACAAATAACATGCTGCATTTTGTTCATCTCTTCAGTGCATGATTTTCATCTGTAAAATACATCTATAAATTCTGGCTAGAGTTTCATGCCTCCTCCCACTCTGGTGAACCAACTGATTGATTGCTAATATCAAATAGAAGCCGATATCCAGAAATATTCTTGGGATATTTTCAAAAGCGATATATTTTATTACTTCTTTCACTCCCATGCAATGCTGTATTATTACTTCTTGTCTCCCCAAAACATTTTGGCCCCACATCCCCAGCCACCTTTTCAATATTCTTTATTTTGCTAATGTTTATACGCCTTTATTTTCCTTATTTGGAAAATACTTTTCTTTTTAAAATAAAGCATTCAAAGCTTTTGAAAGCTTCCTTGCCCATTTTTATATCTATTTCAGTTTCATAGCTTTTGTAATCTTTAAAAAACTTTAAAGTTTTTCACCATGCAACTTCTGTGTGTTATATCAATTTTGTAATGGAGAAGGTTTAAGTATAGAAAATCTCTTCTCTAAGTTCTTTAATGATATCATATTCCATATGGCCTCTATTTGAAATAAAACTTGACTTTGAATTTTCATTCAATGTTCTTGACATATACATTGAACGAACAGCATATTGACTACTGTTCCTGAGCAGATTAAATCCCCTTCCTTGTTATTAAGTCAAAGGTTACATTGCTATTATTGGCTTAATAATTAACTGCCAAATAATTCCTACTTGAGGATTCCAGTTATCTTCATAGTTCACATGGAGTGTTAAGTATTAAGGAAATACCTTACTTGTGGCCTGCTGCCTATTAAATGCTTCTACAAATAGAGTGTTTGTTATTATCTTTGGAGTACCAAGCTAATGGAATGTATTAACCAGGATTGTGGGTTTTGTATTTAATTTAATTAATTTTGTTTGGATGTTATTTATTGATATGATGATAAGGATGTGTCAGCCCTCTACAGCACAGGTGTCAAACTTGCGATGTCTCGTGACATGTCACGACGTATTGCAACTATTCCCCCATTGCCGGCAATGGAGTGGGCACGGTTTTGACATGATGCATCCGGCCCACAGTCAGGCAGTTTGACACCCCTGCTCTACAAGATGAAGGTGTAGTTGACTTAAACATCTCTCACCATGAAGCAGATTAAAATATCAAGAATAAAACACGCTGACAACATTATCTAGTTTGGTTAATGAAACATCTGCAAAAAATCAAGCAAGCTCAGAGAGCACTAGGGACCCCCCCCTCTTATTTTTATGTTGCTGTTTGACTGCTTTTCTGATGTCTTTTTTATTTATTTCAAGATCACATATAGTTTTCATCTACAATAAATATGTGGCTATACATATAGGATAGGATTTCTTCAGAAATATGTTATTTTTGGAATCAATATTTTTATTAGGGATGAATGAAGATTTCATCTGATAGACATTGCCCCAAAACTAATATAAGGGATCAAAATGTAGTTATCCTTCATTTTTTTGCATTTCTTGAATTCGACAGTGCATTTCTTTGCTCAAAAATAGTTTTGTTGGTGATGATAGTTTTGTTCCAAATATATTGATACTCTAGACATACTCAAATACTTTAGACATTTTAATGAAGTAATATATAAATTGCATATATTTAGACATTAAAAATAAGACATATTTGCATATACACACAAATATAGTTTAAGCACAGTAAGCAAAACAAATAATAATTATTTTAATATATTCACTGGCTTAGGGGACTTTAATTACAATAGAGCCAAGAGCACAGCCCTCTGATCAAACTAGCCTTTGCATAAAAAAAATTTCAAAATCATATCAAAGTATAAATACTGACATTTTTTCTTCTTTTCTCCCCCTTCCTCATGGAGGTAAATAGTATTGATTTTTTTTTTCTCCTTCCTGGAGGGACCAGGTTATCCTGAATAAACAGTTCAATGAAGCTCTGGTGTTTACAAAATGTGTCAGATGGATAATGTTCACTAATGAAGGAGTATATTAAAGTATAGCAATTCTTCCTAGTTTTATGATATTTTAATGGTACTGGTAATAAGGGAGCTGAAGATGAATACCAACAATAAATAAGTATCCAGCTCTGAATTAGGAACTAGTTTCATATACTGTAATATTATTGCTGCATAATGAACTAATTTAAAAAGGAGGCATACCTATATTGGTATTCATTGTACAGAATATATTTCCATTCTTTAATCTTATCTATTGGGAGGAGCTCAGCAAAAGCAAAAGGAGTTTATTAACAACTAGGTGCACTAATCCTAGGAAACAGCTGAAATAATAGAGACTGGGTGGTGATTTACACCACTGTGACTTAAGCATAATCATATACAATATGTCACATTCTGGTGGCTCAGCAGGTCATATGAATCACTGTTATTCTTTTTGATGGTACTTATAATAAATCAATTATTAGAAGAGGGACTGGAAAATATACAGTATATGAAGAAATGGAAAGATGCCAAGCAAATGATGGGGAGAACATCTTTGCAATATGGTTGCCAGCAAATGCTATCATAATGTAAACAGTATGTAAACAAATAGGCCAGACTTTGACCTGGATGTAATGCTGAGTGCTAGTTTGGTGCAGAAGTGCATAACCTAATATGCAGAGAACTCCAAAAGTTGCAATCTTTCTGTAATATAAAAGAAACAGGGGAACAAATTAAATCCATGCATGGAAAATTATCAAATAAACTATATTTAATTTTTAAAAATATTAATATCAAGTAAATGAAGTGTATCCTTTACAAACTGTTTCTTGGAATAGTCTTGGCCCACTAATCAAATGCCAAGGGAGGCCCTTGGTCTGAAAATGATTTTACCACAATGTGTATATGTGTCAAAAAAGCAAAGATGGAAATAATCCAATCAAAGACCTATCCTTTTTTAATATATGTCACAAGAAAGGAGCAGAATTTAAAACACACAAAGCTACATTCTTGATTTTGTGATTCCCTCCATGGATGCCCCTAGTGCAGGGGTGTCAAACTGCTGGCCCGTGGGCAAGACACGTCACGAGGAAACCGCGCCCACCCCATTGCCGGCAATGGGGAAAAAGTTCAGATACATCGTGCAAAGTCACGTGATGTCGTGAGTTTGACATGTCTGCCCTAGTGTATTGCTCAAGACCAAAACTTGGTTAACTTTCATGCACATCAGTTCCATTTTTAATGTCTGTTAGAGTCCGGTAAGTAAGAAAGTCCAGTTGCCTTGTGAAAAAGGAACTTTGGGAATCTGGTAAGTAGAAAGAAATAGATATGTTTGCTGTTACATAGGAGCAAGTTTGATTGGTTTGTTTGGATAAACCAGCTTACACCATCATCTATAAAGCTTGTTTAAATAAACAATAGTTAATGTTAGGCATGATTGTTGTTACAAACATCATGATAAAATGTGATTTATGACTGCTTTCTGCTCATCTTCTGTGGAATGTCCCTGATCCCATAAGGACATTTCTTGTGGAATCTTTCAGCTTTATATATATATAAAAAAAGGACAGAGAAAAGTAGAAAGCAATAATTTTACAGAAAGAAGGATTTATCCTGATGGTAATAAAGACTACCATATCCTGCCAATTACAGCCATTTACAGGTTAAAAAAAATTGAAGATTCTAGCCCACGTGATCATATCCTTCTAAGGCAGTTAGCAGAATTGTTGATGTTTAGAAAGGAGTGGGAAGAAGGGAAGAGAGAGAGCGGGTGAAAAAAAAAATCCACAAAAGTTGTCCCCAGTTGACACGATGTGTTTGAGTATGCATGTGCAGATGACATGTTCTCTGGAATCCTTTCATCTAATATTTGTAAGCTCAAAGTAGGTACACTAAGACTCCTTATTGATTCACAGAGAATAACAAAAACAGAGGAATAACAAATACTACCTGAGGCTTGCATTTCTTCCAATGTACTATAGCTCCCAGAAAAAATAATCTCACTTCTTCAAGTAATCTAGACTAACATTTATTTAATTTGTAGAATATTATGAGGTGTGTGTGTGTGTGTGTGTGTGTGTGTGTGTGTATGAGAGAGAGAGAGAGAGAGAGAGAGAGAGAGAGAGAGAGAGAGAGAGAGAGAGAGAGAGAGAGAGAGAGAGAGAGAAAATGTTGTCCAAAATTATATTATGTTATAGCTGCTATTAAAGGCCATTGGAAGGGATTTCTTCCCGAGATGAACTTCTGTTCTGCAAATCTGCAACAGTAAAACTGGGAAACAAGACAGGAGGAAGAAAGCGAAACTAAACCAAACAAAAAACATTCTAACCTATAGTTATCAAAATCCATGCTATTAAAGAAATGGAATTGGAGCGCTACTAAGCCGAAGATGCCAATTACAGGTAATGAGGCAGAACCAGGTTAGATCAGCACAGAGGTTTAGGCTCTTCACATTCCATTTTACCTGCATTTGCAGAAAGTTGAGCTAGTGTCAACTTTCACTTAGAATGCAGTTGATCACAGACCAAGAGAGAGTCAATCTGATACATAAGAGGAAGAGAGAGGTTCTGGGTCATATCCCTGTTGGATTTTAATTCTTTCTCATTAGGCACAGCAATAAAGCCAAATGTCTTCTGATTTTTCCCCCCACTTCTTCTTGGAGACCTAAATTCATGAATATTTATAGGATGCAACTAAATCCCCAAAGCTTTTGGTGGGGAGAAAAAGAAAGCCAAGTATTTATTTCAAGTACACGATGCTGAACATGAACCAGTAAGCACTGAAATAGTCCTCTCCTGCAACAGGCGTGAATGGAGATTAATAATATTCATTATTTTTGGATCTACACTATTTCACAAATCCATAGGTGGGCTTGATTGGATTGAAAGACCTTGATGGATTGAAAGACCGATGGATTGAAAGACCTTGAGGTCAGCCTGAACCGATTAGAGACACAGATATGTCTCGGGAAATTATGCAGTGATGTTTAGAAAAGCATGGGCTCAGGTTTCTGTTGCTATAGCCTTTATAGATAAAGGAGTGTTCCAATATTTCTTAATATTTCCTAATCTGTCCTACCTTAAATGCTGATGTAAATTTTGAAAGTCTGGCTGCATTTTTGCTTCCCTCCTTCTCGCAACCCAGGGGGTTAAGGCCTAGGCAATCTGAGTTTCTTTCTAAAATTTTCTTGGCTACCTGGGCTTAAAACATACATTTTTTTTTTGCACAAGTTGTAACTGTTGCTGCGATATTTTCAAGGTTATCTCTATGGTTGTCTACACTTGCAAAAATAAGGGCACCTGATATCCTCCTGGTTTTACAGCTTAGGCAGCTATCTGCTTTAGTGAATTGCAGTGGGCTGTATTTAGCTGAACAGCATGTCCTTTCTATTGGACTGACATTAACTAGCTGAATTTAGTGACATTGGATTGGAACAATTTAGTCTCTTGAGAGCATGGTGATAAGAAGCATATACATTGGTTTTGAAGTGGTACCAATTGTGGATAACTGCTCCAACTTCCCACTTCAACCTGTCCACCTATTGATTATTTGTGATATACCAACTACATCTGGTTCTCAATTGTTTTACAGCTTACATAAATGGCTAGTGATATAAATGAAGGTGATATACTCCTAAAAGTCTGGATTGCTTAGAGAATTTGCCAAACAGTACTCTGAAATTAAATGTCTATGGAGATCATGATTGTCACAAAAGTGCTTTTTCAAAAGGCAACTGGACTTTTTCAACTTCTTGGATGAGAAATGAAACATCTTCAAGGAAAAAGCAAAGAAAGACCAGTGGCCTTTTGAAAAAGCACCATTGTGACTATTCTCAAATTACCATTTAAAAAATAAAAACAGTACAAAAAAGGGGGAAAGCCCTCTTCATTAACTTGAATTAAATGCAGTACAGTCTTAATGAATGTTTGATCAGAAATTAATACCAATGCATTCAGCCAACTGCATGTAGCACAGAATTCCACATTTTAAATTTTCTGTCCCAAAAAATGCTTTGCTCTATATTGTTGTTTATATTATAAAAGTTCTAGGGAGATCAGGAACTTTGCATCTCACCTAAGATATATGTGGTTCAGTGAAATATAAACAGAGGGGGGAAAACAATAGGAATGCTTATCTGAGAGATAAATCCCTGCATTCAGTAATAGACATAGGCAGTGTGCTGTGTCTTGACCCATTTTCACACTGTGTAGACTAGACTAAACTAGACTAGACTAGACTAGACTAGACTAGACTAGACTAGACTAGACGAATAGAATAGAATAGAATAGAATAGAATAGAATAGAATAGAATAGAATAGAATAGAATAGAATAGAATAGAATAGAATAGAATAGAAAAACAGAATTGGAAAGGACCTTGGAGGTCTTCTAATCCAACCCCCTGCTCAGGTTTTCTTTAACTTTTGATGCACCAAGAAATTGACAGGGGGAATGAAATCAGAAAGATAAACTCAGATATAGAGCCACATCTGCTAGACAGAAGGAGATTTAAAGGAAAAGTGACATAAAACGATCTGTACTTTTTGTTATCTCAGATAACTTGGTTTTATAATGGATGCCAAGTACATTTTTAAAAAGTAGCTATAGATGGTCCTAAACATACAGTATAATAAGAAACTGCAGGAAAGCAATCCCAGCAATTAAATCATCCACTTTTTCATATAGAAGGATTCATTGTAAGCACACTTGGGCTGGTTATGGTCATAATTATGTATAATGCACATTATCTCGTAATATGAATTATCCTTCATCATGGTTGCATTTACTGTATCTGCTGATCCCCTGCAAAACTCACCAGACGCTTAGATTCCAATTTGTTCTCTCAGCTTGACTAATGATGAAACATATCAAAAACTGGTGATTATGAGTTTATAAATCATCTCTCTTTTATCCTGAGGTGACTTTGGGATTTCCTGTGTTTTTGAATTTTTTTCTCAGTAGGATGTAAATGCTAAATAATAATGCAAATGTAAAGGAAGAATAAAAAAATGGTACATTCAGTTGAAAAAGTTTAGATCCAGTCATTTTCATTTATTCAGAGTGGGAATATTCAATAAATATGTTCTTTGCTTACTGAAGACAATTTTTTAAAAAAGAATCGTTCGTTGAAAATATTTTGGCTAGCGTGATTGTGAGCCTTTTCTTGATAAAAACTGGATTTTCCCCTTTTTTTTCTAGCTTAATTTCACCTTAAAACATACCTGCATGAACACACATGCACACATGCACATACAATTCCTGTGTGCCTGTATTTATAAAATAAAATACTTTAAAAAAATTACTGACATTTCTATTTTGATTTTTGTATTTAGATGTATAAAAGAATACTATTGCAGTTGTGGTAGCTATAGAAGAATAAAGATAAAATGTTTTAAATAGGGTCTTTTGTTGCAGAGAATATACAATAAGATGTCACAGCAATAAAAGCCCTGTACTACTTGAATGCTATTGAATTAATTATTTCATCTAAGGAATAAATGAAAAAAATCAAATATTCTAATTGTTCCATTTTTGTGGCCAAGATTTCAGATCTATTAATCCTAAAATTTTGTTCTTAAAACATAAATTGGTTTTATACTCCTTGTAAAATAATAAGTGTTCAGAGTCAGTAACTATACAAATTCTTGCCTTTATAACAAGAAATCTTTTCACTAGATGTGGATATATGTGTTTGGATATGTTTTATCCTGCAGTATAAAAACAAAACAAAAAAAATACAAACAGTAGGGAACTTGATAAAGAATCACCTCAAGGAAATTATTTATCTAATTAAAGAAACAAAAAGTACAAATCTGATCTAGAAAATCAGAGGTGTTATGACAGCAAGCTCTACATTAAAAAAGAAGAAATGTTTAAAATTCTAACAATATTTTTATTTAATAATTGCTAATGATTTCTAATAGAAATAATTTGACATCCTTTGCATATTTTGATACTCTCTCATTATCAGAAAAATAATTACATATTCTGATGGAATTATTGACTGTGTAATTTTTCAGCTCTTTTTAAAAATGAAGAACGTCATGTAAATAAACCAGAAAACTTCTGTGAAGATCGGTATTATTTCCACTGTTGCATATTTCTGAAATTTCTGTTCTATGTACATATGCTGAATTTGTATTGTAATACTCTTTTTGCTGTATTGAGTTAGGAGCAAATTAAATGTTTTACCAGTGTGTTCTTGCAAATTTGTTCTATATTTGTTCCATATTTCTAAAAGAGTGCTGTCAAACAGAGATGGAGGCAAAGCTTTTTAGCTAACATTAGGAAAATCTGCATTTCTAAAAAAATATATGAACTGGGTTGCAATTGCTTTTTGAAATGTATATTTTCCCAATTTTTGCACTGCAGAAATACACACATGCTTTAGTGCAGTATTTTTTTTTAAAAAAACAACAAATTTGTGTGTAAGAATTTGCAAATGGAATAAAGATGTTAATACAAGCCAAAACAGTTAGATTAAATCGTTCTTAAAATAGAGCAGTCTTGCAGGATCAGACTTTGTGCGGCAGCCTTCAATTCATTCATTGTTGTTTGGTTCTATCTAATGGCCCGAGTCACATATACATTTAGCATATACATTTAGTAAATTGATAATTAAGTAATTACCTGCTGCCCAGCATTTTAAACAGAATAATTCAGAATAATGAACTGAACACCTGCTAGAAGTCATCAAAACAGATACGTAGTCAAAGCAGTTTTTAATAGCTTTGATGTTTTTTTTTTTTTTAGCTATTACGCCTATTAGCACCAGTAGCATTTCTAAAAACTGTGGAATGAAATTGATTTCACTGGATAAAAACACAGTCCTTTAAGATTAATTGTTTATTAATCCAATTTACCTGCATACAGGATTCTGGGCAGCTCTCGAAACTAACAATTAAACAACTATATATTTACTCTATATACCATATAGTAGGAACAATAAAGTGATGTAAATATAGGTATACTAATTTACAGTGCTTTTTTGTAAAAAAAAAAAAAGGTGCCAAAACTCACACATTTCATACAATCCGCCTTGCCTACCCTACAAGATTCCATCTAAAAAAGGTTCTGGGCGTTCTATGGCAAAAAAAGCCCTGCTAATTTAAATAATTATACAGTCATAATTTATATGGATATGGAATAATAATTTTGGAGATGGGTATTCAAATGTCTGTTTCTCATTTTTCCCAGTAATAAGTCTGACTCTGAACAGGTAGCTGTCTCAATTTTCCACTCTTTCATCTGGCAGTTTTAATAACAGTTTACTAACTTGTTTTGTTACAGGCCAATGAGCCATAGTGGTGGTGAGCTTTTGCCTCAAGAGGTTGAAGTTCCTGGGATTAATTAACTCAGCCTTCCATTTCTATTTTTTTCTCTCTTCCCCTCCCCCCCTTTTTTGTAAGCAACTAAGTCAAAGATACTATTTAAATTTGGTAATAAACATAGCTAATGGGGTTTTAAATGGTATTTAAATTATATCTAAGCAGATCTCTAAACTCATTTAGCAAACAAATAACTACTAATGGTTTCAGTGCAAAGATTTCTGTACTGCAGAGATAATGATCTCTGAAAGGAAAGCAAAATAGGTCAATGTAAAACACTTATCATATCAGTTCTCAATTTATGTTTATTTTATCAGATTGAGGCCCGGATTGTTTCTTCAACTCCTTTTCCTATCAGATATATATATATATACAAACCATCTTCCCTCTGAGAGATAAAGATGTTACATTGGGTCATACCTCCATGCATGTGGTTTTACGTGACTCCGTCTTTCCTGGGTGGAACATCTTTATTTTTTTACCTAGTACATATCCTGTAGGGTTTTCAATTACATCAATCACCAGGAGGCAGCATTTGATCAGTTTCATCTTATTTGGAGTTTGCCAAGTGTAGGCAACCAGATGTTATTCTATGAGATTCAAACTCTGCCAGGAATTGATCTCGCAGGCCTTTACTCTTTAGATAGACTACATTAGCAGGGATCCAAGTCCTGGTGCTCAGCAAATGTAAAAAAAAATAAAGGACATATCACAAAAAAGTTTTCTTGGACATCTATGACACGGATCAACCAGTCAGAGAGCAGTTTGCCAGTGTCAGTCACAAGAGGCTGCTCAGCCCATTTCAGTATACCAAAAGCAGCTCACTCTGCCACTGAAGACATGTCTTAGGCACAGAAGAAAACTAGACCGTGAGCATTCAGCCCATAGCTCATCAGTCCTTTAATGCACCAATGTGTTCAATGTGTTCCTCCAATTGCTCCTGTTCAAGTTGGGTGAAATAAAAGGGAGGCTATGAGAATTTTGGGAAGGCTATGAGAATTATGAAATTCAGAGGAGGGAGAAAGAGCAGGGGGAAAGTAGGGGTCCCTTTACCTTGCAATGAAGCCTGTCTCTTTATTTTACATTAAAATAAAGTAAAAATGCCTTCATCATACACTGGTGGGTTTTTTTTCCCCCCCTTCATACCTGGAAAAAGAAAAACAATTAATTAAATAAAAGGATACAATGACTGTCTTCCTTCTTGTAGCTGATCTCAGAAATGAGAGATGAAGAAGGAAAGCAGAAGGAGAAACAGTCCTGCCAACCGACAGTGAGTGTTCAGGGCATTTTTATTTATTTATTTATTAAAATCTACCCACATCTCTCAGCCACTTTAAATTTTAAACCCCAAATTTAAAGGAATTCTTATCACCCTTGGAGAGAGGTAGAATTAAAAACAGCCGCTTTTCAAAGGAGGACAGGATTACTCAAATGCTGTGAGGATAAAATTAGAAGTGGGAATGCTACAGAGACCACCCTGAAATCATTCAAACCAATGTCTTTTTTTTTTTTAAATCATCTCAGCAAAAAGCAGAGACAAAGGGAAGAGTCTTTGCTTTTCCCTCTCCCACGCACACAGAGGAAACCCTGGAGCCAGTAGCTGAAATCCACACCAACTTTGCAATAAAGCCTCCCTGATAAAGGTTATTTGTCAACATTTGGAAGGAGAGCTGCCAGTAGAAAGAAAGATTATTTGTTTGGCTTATAGTTCCTTTTCCCAGTCTTCCCTCCATATTAAGCCTTTGTATTAAGCCTTTTAAAACCTGCTTATATTGTTATCCTAATTATTAAGTCTGAGCTTACTGCTAATGCTCTAGTATAAATAAAACCACCAGCATACCCATGGGCACAAAGAGTTAAACACACTTATATAGGCAAAAGAGCAAATTTCTCAGCTTGCAGGAGGTTGTTTGGTTGGTTAAGGATTAAAGTCAACCTGGAGATCATAGGCAATGTATCTGGGCCAATGAAGATCCAGTGAGACTTCACTGCAAAGCATCAAATGGGATGTATCAGTTTCAAGCCCCATGAAACTATATACAGTGCATGTTTTGATTCAATAACCCAGGCATAACAAAAATTTGTACTGTGCATGGAAGCTCACACTACGAAACCTGAAACAGTTACTCATAGGTTCTAGCAGCAAACAATGTTGGCAATAACATAAAGACAAAATCTGCTATGGTTGTAACCTAAGGCTGAATTTTTTTTAAAAATGGGAAAAAATGGAACTTGGTTTTATATCAAACACACAAAAGCCACAGTATTATATTCCACAATACTGTAATAGCTTTGCTTTTGAGGACTGGAACGTCTGCCCAGCTCAGTAAAGGATCCCCAAATCATTTGCATTTGAATTGTTACCAGGAAGCTGTCTACAGTGGGAGTATATGCTTTATGAAGCTGTCACAACAGCAGGGGTAGGAAATTAACTATGGGTGGATAAAAATGAGCTTATGAATGGAAGGGGGGGAAAAGTAACAGCTTATATCATGGAATGGAGAGAACTTCAAAGAAAACTTTTCTGAGTGTGCTTGAGAAATGAATATGGTCCCTGGATTAATAGTGTGTGCAGATCAGAGCTGGCTTGCTGGCATCACATCTCCTAATCCCAGAGTTCAAAATCCTTGGTTTGTTTTCTGCAGTGAACACAATGATGCTTTGTTAAAAGAACTCAGCCATTTAGCCATGCTGCTAAGGTTAGTTTCACACCAAAGGAATGAGGGCCTTGCAAATTACACGTTAAAATATCAAATCCTTTAGTGAAAGTGAAGCAGCCCCGTGGTTTATAATGATGAATGAAAGCTGTAGATTGAGCCATTTAAATCAGCAGTAAAATGCTGGTGCTCTCTGCATTGCTATAAAGAGAAACCTGACTTACTGGAAAAGCTAAGAATCAATACTGAGAAACGTACAAAGATATACAGCTGAGCATACCTGCAGTGATTAAAAAGGAAGTTAAATGTTTTCATGGGACTTTATTTCCAGGTCAAACTTTATATAATGAATATGTACATCCATCTCTCTATCTCTCTGTGGAAAATGAAAATATTGGCTATTGTTCTTTTATGCAAGGTTTAGCCCAGGTAAACTGAATCAGGGCTCATGGACAAAGTATTGAACCAAAGTTTGTGCTATGCTTAATTTTGCAGTTTGCAATTGTACTTTTCTTAATATGATTTTGCTAAGCTTGCTTGTTTCAAATATATTTAGAACATAAGGACTGGAATAGTAAGAAATAGGGAACTGAAAGTAGCTGATGGATGCAGGTTCCAATGTACACGGGTATATATGGAAAATTATGTTCAGCAGAAGGTCAACAGGAGGTGAGTAAGAAGTCAGTAAAAGTCAGCAGAAGTCAGCAAAAGTCAGCAGACCATCTGACTACAGTCTTAGAAGGAGAAAGGGTATAAAGAGTTGGGTCTGGACATGATTGATTTGCCATTGGCCTATAGCTGTCCTTTGGAATTTGCTATACCAGTGGACCTCATTGCAATGGGTTATTAATGTAAGTGATGTTGTGTTATTATGCTTGCTATTTTCCAAATTATTAGCAAAATAAACCTCTGCATCTTAAAGTAAGAATTATTGTTTTGTGCTGCTGCCTTTTGTCTTTTTCGTTGGGTTTTTCCATGACATCTCTATCTCTCTATCGCTCTATCGCTCTATCTTTATCTCTATCTCTATCTCTGTCTATCTCTTTATCTCTATATCTATCCTAATCCTCACTTGGAATTAGACTGGATGGATTAGATGATCTTTAAGATCTCATAACTTTATGGCATGCTTCATATATAATGCTAAGCCATACAATGGTTTATTTTGGCTTAGCCTGAAATCCAAACAAGTCATTATGGCTTAAAAGAACCAGGGCACTCAGACTTGTGCCAGGAACCATAATGAGGAAAAAAAATCCTCAAAACAATTATGAATAGAGGTATCAATTTTACACTCATTAAACTAGAAAAAAAAACATTTTGAGTTTAAAAGCAAATATTCTCTTAATATTTGCATATTATCAGCTCCTAATAATATGCAGGCATATTTTCTTAACATGGAGGTGTGTTGTCATTGTTTTCTTTTAGAATGATAATTTCCTTATTAATCTATTTTTCTAGAATTTCCTGGTGATTTCCAACGTAGGCATTAGCCAATTTCTTAGTTGTTGTTTTTTGAGATCAGCAAAGATTAACTACATGCTGCCACTTAGTTCCTCTGAGTAATTTCCCACTGATGTCATTCAATGGCATGGTCTCCCTTTTAGGCATTTCTGGGTTTCATACAAATGTCTACGGCAGATTTTCCCAACCTTTCTGGTTTTGCAGACTGGCTGGGGGGGGGAGGGATAGTTCCATGTGAATAGATGGCAAGTGCATGCATATACAGCTGCATTTGCATGAGCAGTGGCACCTGCACCCCAGTGGTCACCTAAATGGAGCGCATGTGCATGTGCTCATCCACTGCTCGTGCAAGTGTGGATACGGGCATGCTCACCATGGTTTTTGCGGTCCAGTTCCAAATGGTTCACAGCCCAGTGGTGGGCCGTGGGCCATGGGTTGGGGACCCGTGGGTTGGTCTACAAGAAGGAATCTGTGCTGACTTTTGCTTTCAGGGCAAAGGGAGTTAAATGGTTGCACACTTGGCAGCAACAGTATCATAACCTCTGAGTGGGGATATTGTTATATTATCTATCATGATTCATATAAATCACAACAGCCCTAGCATATGGGAGGGGGGAAAACCCTGAAATCTCTTTCTTTGTCAGGAGGTTCATAAGAGGGATGTTTTTCCACACAGGAAAGCTTTTGCCTTATACTTAGTTTTCAGAATTTGGGCTTTCTTGTGGATCGCAGGGAATGTAAAATTAATTTCCCCTTTATTTTTTCACATGAAGAGCTTTTTGGAATGTATTCTGTTTTCATTAATTAATTACAATAATCCTATTGTGCCATATAATATAGAAGTGGCCTGGCTGACATGTAAATAAAGAAATACAGGTTAAAATTATTTTGTAAAATTAAATAGTTTTAAAACATAATTAATTTCAAAGGCAAAGTCAAGCACATGATTTTAATTTTCTTCCAAGTACTCAATTTTGGCTATATCATATTTTAAATAAATAGACACAAATAATGGAAGGATACTCCTGAAATAAAACATTTAAAACCCCACCAGTTTTGGTGGGAGGTGAATCGAAACAGACATGTTTTCTGATATTTATATAAATGAAGACTGCAATCCTGTGCACAGTTTGAGGGATATGTGCCATAGATCTAACTGGGACTTAATATTTGAATACACATGCATATATTTACATGCATATATTAAATTTACTTCACATGGCTAGGTTATGTTCAATAATTTTGTCTTTCAATATCTTAAAACTGAAACTCATATTATGGTAACAAGTAAATACAGAGCTGGAAGAGATCCTGGAAGTCTTCTAGTTCAACTCTCTGCCCAAGGCAAGACTCCTTATACCATCCCAGATAAATGGTTGCCAATCTTTTCTTGAAAACCTCCTGCAATGGAGCACCATAACTTCTGATTAATTGTTCTGTAAGGAAATTTCTAGGTTGGTTCTCTCCTTGATTAGTTTCTAGCCATTGCTTCTTGTTTTATAAAATGAATGAGTCAAACTCACTCAAGATAAGGTTTAATAATAGTTCTTTTCTTCTTATGTTATTGGACAATAAACAAGGCAGGTGCTCAATCATAACTGACTAATACATGTTACTTGTTACTTGTTATCTTACACAGTTTTACAATAACTTAGTTACCCAACTAGGTTAAACAACATTACTTTTTGCCCAGTTAGGCTAAACAAAGAATCAATAAGCATCTGTCTAGGCTACTCAAGTTGCTCTCAAAGATTGTGCCCAACTAGGATAAACAAAGAATTGTGCCCAGCAAGGCTATTCAAGTTGCTGTAAGTATTGCTGCCCAACTAGGCTACTCATTCACACAATCAATACTTACAAACACTCAACAACAGTTGGCCAGGCTGTGTTAGAGTGGGTTGGGAATTAGACTTCAGGGCATCCCCTGCTCCTCATGGAGGTCTCACACTTCTGAAGTCCATTGCATTTTATCTCTCCTTTTATATCCAACTTGTTTATTCCAAGTCTAAATTCATGACACGTCAGAAATGTTACAGATGATTTGTGTACGTCTATTGCTTGTTTTGCTACTTCTTGAAAACTGCAGCATAAGTATATTATATTCTGTACACCCAGTTGAGGAGCCATGCCATGCATTCCTTGCCATGCCATGCATTCCTTGCCATGCCATGCATTCCAGCAATGTGAGTTTCCTAAAGGGTTCATGAATAGGATAAACATGGCTATTCTTTGGTTTTATTATAGGTATGATTTTAATATATTTAATAAATATGCTTCTGTATACTAGAGACTATATTCTATATAGATATATAGACAGACATAGATAGATAGATAGATAGATAGATAGATAGATAGATAGATAGATAGATAGATAGATAGATAGACAGACAGCTAATTCATTACACTTGTTCAATGCTTAGGTGCTTTGGAGAATAGGTTGACCCCCTCTTCTTTGTGGCAGCCCCTCAGATACTAGAAGACTGATATCATGTCACTCCTAGATCTTCTTTTCACTAGACTGGACATACCCAATCCCTGTAACTGTTCTTTATGTGTTTTAGCCTTCAGTCCCCTAATCATCTTCATTGCTCTGCTCTGTATTCTTTCTAGAGTCTCAACATCTTTTTTTATATATATATTGGGCAACCAATACAATATCCAAGTGTGGTCTTAACAAGGCATTATAAAATGGTATTAAGACTTCTCTTGATATTGATTCTATCCCTCTGTTAATACAGTCTAGGACTGAGTTGACTTTTTTGGCAACTGTAGCACACTGCGGGCTCATATTTAAGTGGTTGTCCACCAGGACTCTTAGATCCCTCTCACAGTTACTGCTATTGGGCTAGGTACCACCTATTCTATACCTATGCATTTAGTTGTGCTTCAGTAGAGTAACTCTCATACTTTGATATTATGACTTAACTTTAATTTCAGGCTTCATCTTCTAGTTTACTTTTATTTGTGAAAGGCGAGGTAGATTTAACTTCACTTTTGCTTCCACATTTCATTATAAATTTAACCCAGTTGTCTCCCATCCAAACCATTAGAACTGTTTCCCAACCAAATCAGAAGAATGTGCAAGGAAACCAATTACTTTTTTGTCACTATTCATAAGGCAAATGAAAAACACCCCCAGACAGGAATTGCCAGTCCCACTTTTACATACATCCTGAAAATTGAAATGAGTGCACGGGCCACACAGCTTCTAAGAGGCATGAACTGCACAATTGCAAATACCTTATAAGCTTTAATTTTATATGTCTCCTGTAATCACCAGGGTCTCTTTAAAAGTGTCCCATGAGAAATGTATAAAGACAAAATCAAATACCTATGCCCAATGCTAAATGCTACATTTTATTGGTGATACACATTTATTAGTCCATTCGACTGTATAGTAAACAATTCAAGTGTCATTGGCTAATTGTGACTGATGGTATCCATTGGCATTACTGTGCTAAAAAAAAAATCCTTAGCAGTAACATTTCCAACATAATCAATTTAAACAATAAAGTAGATTGGAGAATTCAACTTTAAAAAGAAAGAAAGGGGTGCACAGAAATGAAAAAAGAAAAAGTGCAATAAATTATCAACATTTCTCATTTGAGGTAGTTACAGTTTTAATAGTGTTCCCTAAACACTGAAAGCACTCAATTGAACATCTGCTTTCCAGCTGTGCTATTGATATATTGCCAGAATATTATTCCCTTCTATTTTAAATGTGTCTAAGATTGGTTTCTTTAAAACAAAAAAAGTGATGGGGAAGCCACATTACCTGACTTTCCAACAGTACCTTGATTGGGAAAGATATAAAAATGTCAAAAATTATATAGACTATTTTATACCCAGGATTGTATTTTTGAAATGAATCTAAAGACAGATGTCTATGAACAATTAAACTATTCTCCAATTGCACCTTGTGCCAGCTGGAACTATAGAATTAAAGAGAAATAAGTCATCCCGATTCACTTATTGGTGATGTTCCTAGTATTCTCTGCACAGATGATAGATTTTTTATTAATCTATTCTGTTGATGGAAAATGTGTCTTGTCTGCAGCTTAAACTTTTTTCTTATAATTCATATACTGTTTTTTATAAAGTTTATAAAAACCATTAAGCAGAGATTGTGTTATCTAAAGCTTGCTCAATACCATGTCAAGTCTCTATGAGTTTAGTTCTAAACTTCAATGCTAAAATAACATGTGCTAGAAAGAAGCTTATTGAGAATTGTGCTTATCAAAATTATTGCAACATAATATTTAATTTAACAGGGGCATTATAGGGAATAACACATGTTCATCTTCCTTATTGAATTAAGATGCTACAGTTTCAACTTGCCTTCTAACATTATTTCCCTTCTAACTTCTAAATAGCTCAATGTAATGATTTTCCAGAAGGACTAGATAATATAGATTTATGAAGTAAGATATTGTCAATATTGTAAACATTCTCAGTAGCTAATCTCATAATCATAAGAAAACAGTTTCATTTCCATCCTCTGCCCAAGGAGATGTTTTGTGAAATATTGTATGATAAGTCTATACTATGTATATCTCTATTTGCAATTTTAACAATGATAAACTCCTTGTTTTCCCCTTTTGTGGTTTAGAATAAAAGTGTTACATTCTGCAATGCTATTATAAAGCTGAAAAAGAAATCTTCTGATTGATTTGTTTAATTTCATTAAATGACACTAAAGGAGCATGGGTTTTATTTTTTTTATCAGTGTGTGCAATTAAGAGGATATATTAAAACCCATAATAGATTTGATTAGTTTTATCTAATGTAGGCACACATATTAGTTCTTTGAATAAGTAAATTAAAGTCTAGTAAGTAGTGATTTCCTTTTGAGAATGAAGATGCATAAAGTATAAAAGAACATGACTATCTGAAAATTATAATAACAGTAAAGAAATTCCAAACAATTTCATCATTCTGTGGTGTTGCCAGCTGATGAATACCATGTAATTCTAAGCTAATTCCAGGGGGATCATATGAAATTAAATTAATTCATTTGATCAAACTATTCATTCTTTTTTTTCACCTTGTGAGGGAATTCCACAACAGTATTGTTTTGGGCTTATGTGAAGATGCACTGTACAGAGTATTATTGGGATAACATAGTATATGAAATGTTCCATTATAGCTTTTCTTTTGAGTGATCCGGGCATTAAATTCGGACTTTTCAATAACTTAAGCATTATCGTTAAACCATCTTTCCCTTTCATACCTAAAACATGGCAAATTAAAAAGTTATACTATTAAAAATTGCTTACTAACAGTGGCAGCAACATTTTTTTAAAAAGAGCTTATATAGGTGAAATGTGCAGCTTAAATGCCCACATGATAGAAATTTACCCCTCAAATTAATCTTCTTTAAAAGAAAAATCCTTAGGCAATTTGCATTAAGTCAATTAAATACATCAAGGGAGGGTTTGAGCAAAGAATCTGTACATTAGGAGACACTGAATGATTAAGACCTTTTCTATAAAAATTTTCATAAAATCTTATATATCTATTTTCTTTTTTAAAAAATCCAGATTTATCTAATATGTGCAATAAAACAATTCATACTTCGATCTGCACAACTCTGTGTATCATGCAAAGTTAAAGGAATGCTATAAGGATCTTCAATTATCTTATACCATTGGCCTTTTATTTGGTGTTCTTTCATTCTTCCTTCTACAGTACTTATTTCAGTTTTCCTTGTTCACCAGTAACACACATTTTCTTTTCCCTAGCTGCAAATAGAGTATTACTGTTCCTCCACGTATGTTAATTCTCTCTCCAAAACTTTTAAAATCCTCCAAACATCTACAGATTAATATCTAACATGCATTTTTAGTCAATAGCAAACTTAATAACTAATAGTCCTTCATAAGAGATTTCTCTATAACTACGGTGAATTCTCCTTGCTTTTGAAACACAATCAGCTACTAAAGTAGAATTTTTAAAAATAATTTAATGTCATTAAATGTAGTAGAACTAACAGCTACTGTACACTGCTTGAGTAAATAAAATATTAAAATTGTGCATAACTTTGCATCAGAATGTTATTCTAAATCCATTCAACAAATCTGATTCAATTTTATATAAAAGAAGATGCTTGTTGGGTTTTTTTAAAGAAGAAAGTGTCAGTGAAATTCTCATGGATAGGCTGCGAACTTGCCCTTTATTGTTGCCCAAGCTCTTTGTATTTCAATTAAAGTCCAGAGAAAACTCCCTCCCCTTGGGAGTTCTAAGAAAGATTAGGAAGTGTAGACACACAAGAAACTTGCAGAGCAATAGAAAGTTGTGTAATTGGAAAAACAACAGCACAGCAAGTTTTCTTTCAATGGTAAAGTAAAATACCACCAGAATAAATTCTAAAGCATTCTCAGAATGGAACAGAAAAATGGAGGACTGTTTTTTGAAATGATAAACAAACAAACAAAAAAAACTTTTGGAGAATTAGAAAGACAATTTCAATAAAGAACTGTATAGCTAATACTGTAATTTTGGAGACAAAAGCTCATAGGGCCTGTATCATTTTAAATTAATTGATCTGATTCGTACTTTCCATGAAACAATTATACCGACTGGAAGACAAACTCATATTTTGCACTGTGAGCCTTTATAAATTACATAATACAAAAATACACACACAAACAAAAGCACTTATTCTAGAAAGGTATGTATGATGGTATGTATGTGAGTAAAATAATGTACTTTCACTTTTGAAGACTGCAGCTGGGAAAAGGGAAGAAAAAAAAAAACCTCTTGGGCTGCTTATCTGTGTGGCAGAGACAATAAACTATTTTGCAAACTGAACATTCACTTTGAAATGAAGAGTTAAATGTGTCCAGCTCTGTATTCTAAAAGAGCTTCCGCAGAGCCACAGTGTATGAACATTTGTGCTTCAAGCTTCAGGGAATTTCAAATATTGGTTATTCAG